GAAGAACACACCAGAAATTTGTCATTGCCACCTCTACAAAGATTGATATCAGCAAAGTGAAAATCCCCAAACACCTCACTGATGCTTACTTCAAGAAGAAGCTGCGGAAACCCAGACACTAGGAGGGCGAGATCTTCCACACTGAGAAAGAGAGATACCAGATTTCAGAGCAGTGCAGGGTAGATCAGAATGCAGTGGACTCACAGATTTTAGCAAAAATCAAAGCTGTTCCTCAGCTCCAGGGCTACCTGAGATCCATTTTTGCTCTGACACATGGAATTTATCCTCATTCATTAGTGTTCTAAATTTCTTACTAAAACCCTAATTAAATAACTGATACATTAAAAAACAAAAAAGCAAAAAAACTTCTCAAACTGACATAATGAACTACATCCTGGAACTAAGGTTATAATCTCTACATCCAAGATGTGGAACTTCTCAAGTAGACACAGTGTGTCAACTATTATATTCACTAGTATCGTTCTGGAAACTACTGTTCAAAACAGGTTCTGGTCATAGAGTTTTCTCATAGAGACAAGAATATGGCTAGTATAATTAATTATACATTTAAGCTTTATAGCCAGAAATTTGTGCTTCCAAGGGTAGTGCAGAAGGGGCAGAATCTGGGGCTGGGGAGATGGCTCAGTAGCATAAGCATTTCCCTGGCGAGCGCAAGGGCCTGAGTTCAATCCCCGGTTCTGCAAAAAAAAAAAAAAAAAGAAAAAGAAAAAAAAAAAAAAGATGACAGAATCATATTCTTTTTATACTGCTAACATATTCTCTGTTGGATCAGAAGGAGTGGCCAGTGCACTGACCATTGTCACTGGATCATTGGCATTGGCAGTCCAGAGGAAGGGACAGTCTGTGGCTTATTTAGTTTTTAAAATCCTGACTACTCCATGGCATTGTGCATTGTGGTTTATCCTAATTCCTTGATCACAGATGGGGAGTACCTGTAATGTGGCTCAGAAAATTGGTCAAGGAAAGTGAATTTTGGGTCAGTATTTCCTCTAGAAATTCTACTCAGCCATGTAGAAAATTGAGATAGACTTTTAAAGCTTTGTTGATGTTAAGACTAGAGTGCATCTTCTTAATTAATGTTTTAAGTAAAACTTTCTTTTCCTAGATGAAACCACAGGAATCATCTATAGAAAGAGGATTGCAATCTGTCGGAATGTGATTCCAGAAATTTTAAGGAAGGTAAATTCATTTCAAAATGTAATTACAGTGGGGTGCTATTGCATAATTTTTAATCAGGAATAGAGAGCAGTTTTAGGTGTAAAAGAACACTGGGACGTCCTGTTTCTCCCACTTCACAGCTAGCTGTTCAGGTGAAGAAAGCATTTTCATATCCAACCCACTTTTGGCACACTAGAGATAATTTGTCTCTGTCTCTCTGTTTCTTCTGTTGAGGGTTCTTAATGGGTATAGAGATATTCTATGACAACTTTAAAGATACTTTCAGCATTCTGCATGAAGTGGCTATATATTTTAAATCTTTCTATGGTTAGAAATGACTCTCAGGTAAAAGTGTTTAGAAGTTGGCAGATTGTAACTATTTAGTCTGATTTCGAAGTAAGGAAAACTTTCAATTTCTAATTCACTGTTAGAAATTTCTGGGAGTAAAATGTTCCTAGTGCTGTGTGTAAGCCTTTTTGCGTAGCGTTTCTGTAAAGAAATATTATTGATGAAATCTTCATAATAGAAAATTGTTTTCTCTCTTTGAAACTTTAAGCATTCTGGTGATTATTTTTTTGAGAGAGGTGAGTGGAAATTTTTAATTGTATTGCTTAAACCATAGCAAAACTTCGATAAGAATCTTTTAAAAATTGTTAGGGAGCACACATTTTTGAAAATGCGTTAGATGGCTGCTTTAACCCGGAAGAGATTCTGGTTGTGATGTAGAATTCAGCTTGGCTCCTGCTGATTAGCTTGCAAATTAAATTGCTGTACTGCATGTGGGAAAAATGGCAGCTTTCATCACTTCCTTATCATGGATTAAAAGACTCTGTCATCTTCTTAGGGGAAAAAAAGCTAATATGACAATGAAAATGAGCTTTCTTTTATTTTACAGATGGTAAATGTGTTGCACTGTAGCAGCGAATTATTACTGCCTTTTTCCACAGAGCACATACTCTGCCTTTGCCCTACATATGCACTTTGAATCTATTATTTAAAAAGGCATTCAACTTTGTCTTGTATCTCAGTTCTTAAATAATTTAAGAATACTTCTGACTTGTACAATGTTGCCTTTGTAGTTTTCCATGTCTTCTCCACCTAAGAAAGCATACATTTCTAGGTACTGGGCAGAGTTTAAAAAAAAAAAAAAATTTACACTATATTGTCCTGCATGGGAGCCTATAAGTAGGCCCAATCAGAATTCATCAATTTAAGAAGGCCATATCTAGCTTTAGAGGAGACATGAAGGAGGCTGATAATTTGCTTGGTGTTTAGCAGTTATGGAAATCAGGCCAGGGACTCTACAGCCTATATAAATCCTGGGCCATTTGCATGTCCTCGCCAGCACTCAGTAAGGTCACAGCGTGTTTGATTATCAAGAGTTATGGCCATGGGTGAGCCATCATCCATATAGCAGGATCTCTTGTCCTCTTTACTCCCAAGACCAAAAGTAGGTCTAGAAGCAGTCCCTGTGCAGTTTTTCTTAAACTGAGAAAGCCATCCTCCCTCTGTTGGACAGGTGGGCATGTTAAAGGTACCTAGTATCCAGTTAGAAGAAGAATCCTGGCTCAATCCTCAGGAAAGAAACATGGCTATACGGAGTCACTGCCTTACATGGACACAGTATGCATCTATGAGGGAAGAGTCTGTCTTCAGGGAAAGTGTGGAAAATCCCAATTGGTAAGATCACTTTTGTGCATGTCGTGTGTGTGTGTGTATTTTGGGTGCAGGATGTACGTATGAAAACACATATGAGAAAGCTGTGATTTTGCACTCAGGACCTCTTGTCTACAACTCACACAAGTTCCATATTATTAATTTTTAATTACAGAAAAAAAATATTTTCCTTTGGAGGGAAAAATGACGGAGCTCAATTCTTGTATGACCACCTCTCCTAATTCTGGTGTCTTCACACTAGGAGAATGAATAGTACCAGTTCGAACAACCTTACAAGTCTTTCAACAAATACCTTAGTTATTTGCGTATGTTGTTATCCAGGCTGTGTACTATGGCTTTTATATTTTTTACACAATTTTATGTTATATAAATCATTGGGCCACCCCCCTCGTTGTCTCTCTCTTTTACTTAAAGATGGATAAAATATTTGAGTAGACATTTCTCAGAAGAAAATACATAGATAGCTAAAATTCACATAGAAAGCGTTCAATACCATTAATCGTTAAGGAAATGTGAGTAAAATCCAAAGGGAAATACATTTCATACTTGTTAAGATGGCTATAACTAGAAACATAGTAACACATGTTGGTGTCCATGTGGAGAAATTGGAACCCTGTATGTTACTGGTGGAAATGTAAAATCTTGGAGGCATTGTGAAACACGGTTTGTCAGTGCATCAAAAGTTAAACAGAGAGTTATCAAGGGCTTCACAGGTATGCTCCTTGGCACATACCTAAGAGACATGAAAACATGCTCACACAAAAAGTTGTATAGAAATTCTTATTGCAACTTTACTTATAGCATCCAGAATATGGAAGCCAGTCAGATGTCTAACAGCTAGCAGATGTGGTCTATTCATTACATGGAATATTCTGCAGTCATAGAAAGGAATAGAGCTTGGAATTATGTTACAACATGGACAAACCCTAAAACTTAGGCTAAATGATAGAAGGAAGTTACAAAAGACTGCACTTATTTGAAACATCCAGAATCAGCAAATATATATGGAGATAAAAAAGATTAGTGGTTGCTATGGCCTGGGGGAGAGGAGAGTGGAGGTTGGCTCTTGATGAGTATGAAGGTTTTTTTTTTTTTTTTTAGGGGATTGATGAAGATGTCTTGAAATTAGTGTTGATAGTTGCATGACTTTGAATCTACTAAATCCCACTGAACTATACACTATAAGGGTGAAGTTTATGGTATGTGAATTGTATCTCAGTTTTTAAAAGATATATAGTTGGATAGTTGGTTCTCATTACATAGTGTCTTAGATTATGTTACAATGATGATGATAATATATAGGCTGGGTGGGAAGGTGGGGGAGGGGAGGGGAAGGGAAAGTGAGAATTAAGCTGTGTGCTGGGATATAATGACCACAATGAATGTAGACTCTATATGCCATAAGTATGAGCTGAGAGTAATAATAATAGTGAGACTGGGGAAAGGGCGTTCAGAGGAGGGAGTGAGGTCAGAGGAAGGGGATTAAGAGAAGGCAAAGGTAATGGCTGTGCTATGTCCCTCTACCTCTTCCTCATGAGGAACACAGACTTCATGTAGCAAACATGTATTTACAAACAGCAACAAAACACAAAAGTGACACAGGCCATAAATGTTTACAGTAATTATTGATGTGAATTCTGATTTCAGAGGAAAATCTACTATGTTTTCTAATTTTTTTTTTTTTTTTTGTATTTAGTACAGGGTCTACAGGGTCTCACTATATAGATTGGACTCATAGTGATCCGCCTGTGTTCAGCCTCCCAAGAGCTGGGATTACAGGTACACATCACCATTCCCAATCTCAATCCCCATCTCAGTGCACCCTGGGAGTGGGGGCTGCACAGCATGCCAGGGATCGAACCCTAGCTGCTGGGTCTGCCTAAGCAGGCAGCTTTAATCTGCTGAGCTATTTATTATGATTATTTTTTTGGAACCGGGGATTGAACTCAGGCCCTCGCGCTTGCCAGGGAAGCACTTATTCCACTGAGTCATCTCCCTGGCCCCCATCTAATTATTATTTTTTTTTAAATGTATCTATCACATGGATAGAAATAGTAAAGTCCTCAAGTCCAAATAACTAAAACCTCCAAGTCCAAAATCTATTCTTACACCTCAGTAGTTTCAAATAATCCCTGCTTCGCATAACTGTGATCCTGTACCAATAATACTAGCGTGTTCTGGGAGCTACCCGGTAGACGAATGAGGACCCTGTCTTCCTAGCAGCAGAGTAGGTTCACTCTGAGCTGCCCCCTAAGCTTTCATTTCCTGGTTTCCTGTGAGACAGAGCTCCCGGAGGACGAGGTGGTCCAGCTAAGTATAAAGGATGTGGCCAGAGAATCATGTGCTTTTCTCTATATGCAGAAGTAGTAAAAAGATAGACCTTTTCTGATTTTGTGGAAAAAAATCTTTTATTTCATCTTCAATTTAGCATTTTTTTGGGCAGATGTTGGCGAGTCTTAAAAGCTGAGCTGAACCTTTATCTATTATACTAAAATGATAATTAGCCCTGAGCATCCAGAGAAAAGGTCCTTTAGAAACCTTTTTACTTTGTATGCTTTTAAAAAATTAGTTTTAAAAGTCATTCTGATTTTGGGAATAAGTGACATATGCTTGTGGTAAAAATATTAACCAATTCTGGGAAAAAAAAATGTCGTCATCTACAGGTGGTACCTAGTGATATAATTTTCTTGCTCCATTCCTAATTGACATGTAAGTTGTTTCTGAATTCCACAGAGTGTTGTAATGAAAACTTACATGATTCTGTGCTTCTTAACTTAAGATGAGTAAAGTAAGATTTCTCTTTTAAAGGTCATATGCATTTTATATTTTGGCATGTGTGGCCAGATTCCATTATTATTATTGTTTTTTAAAATTATTTTTTACAGGGTCTTACTATGCAGCCTAGACTGGGAGTGATCCTTCTGTTTTCAGCCTCCCCAGTGCTAGGATTACAGATGTGTGCCACCACACCTGGGCTCTGTTGCCAGCTCAGTACTCCCAGGGGTGAGCCCCACATAACACATGGTGCCAGGAATTGATCCCCGGTCCCTGTGCTTGCCAAAACAGGCACTTAGTCCACTGAGCTATCTCGCCAACCCTCAGAGTCCATTATTAAAAGGCTTGACGAGTTACACTTTCTTCTTCTTCTTTGGTCTGTTGTGTTCTAATCCTCTCCAAAACACTTTTATGTCATTGACACAGCAAGCTAATCCCCATCGACACCTTCTCTGTCAAGGGCAAAGCTAGATATGTCAGGGGAAGCATTTGAGGTTTAGGTTAAGTAACTCTTGCCAGATGACACATTTAGCAAATTGCGTGCCAAGGTGTGGATCCAGCTACCATCATTCCACCTGGAACAAGTGGTGAGGAAAGAACATGGAATTGTGTGGAGGAAGGGCTTATCTCAGACTCCAGTGCTTTGGTCCTCGGAGTGGAGAATGGGTTTTGTCTGAACAGAAACTCAGCTTCGGGAGGTTCTGAGCAGGAGAGCATATGCAGAAGGCTGTGATCCAGATTCGGGAGTATTTTCCCTAAGCTCTTGACATGGATGTAGAGTCATTTAGGCAGACATTCTAAATGAATGGACAATTGGGGAGTTGGAATGTGGGACATCCACAAAAGGACGGCGCATTATTACTTTGCTTTTCTTACTTGTGAGGGAGAGTAAGAGTAATGGCCAGTTAGTGCACCTTGAAGGTGAAACACAGACAGCTTGTTTTTCAAAGGAAAACAAAATGAATAAAACAAATACCTATTATGGGTGCTGAGCTTACAATGAGACTTTCAAGCTGTGTGCTGGTTTGCAGGTTGGGTGTGTGACCAGAAGCCAGGTTCTCTGTCCCCATGTGGCCTGTCAGCTCCTTTTCAGAGCTGGGCTTGCAACGCGTTTCCTGTAGACCTGACTAGCCTTGTGGTGAGCATCTTTGTAGAGATCTGATTTCGGCTTTCCACGGTCCTCTTGGCAGTTGTGGCAAGAGCTGCATCATCCCCAGCCTGCCCCACCCCTGCCATATTCTCAGACACATAGATATTTCCAACAGGTTTTCTTTCTTTAGTAGCTGCCTCTGACATTTTCCTCCTGTAGTTATTTTCTTTTCTTTTCTTTTTTTTTTTCTGTATTTTAGGGAAGGGTCTACAGGGTGTTCAGGGTCTCACTACTAGACCGGATTCATAGTGATTCTCCTGTTTACAGCCTCCCAAGTGCTGGGATTACAGGCACACACCACCACACCCAGTCTCAATGGCCTTCTCAGTGCACCCTGGGGATGGGGCCGGCACACTAGGCCCCTGCCCCTGCTTGCAGGCACTTTAATCTGCTGAGTTATTTGGCCGGCCCTTGTAGTTTTTCCAGATTAGATTCATCAGGGCTGCCAGGATAATTAGGGTCAGCATATTTCTTTGCTGTGTTTATTGATTAGTGAGGGAAAGCCGTGAGAAGGAGAACAAGGAGAAAGAGCTGCTCTGCTCTGAGACAAGTTGAGGCAACTTGGATCACCTGCCTGTTCTGGACCAGCAAGAGAGTTCAGAGGAGTGATGACAGTGCCTCGGCATTGATCAGGCAGGGTCTGCCCCTAGAGCTGGGAGTGAGGCCAACTTTCTGTAGTTCTGGTCTGTGTGGGAGACTACATGGGTCTGGAAAAAAAATAGCAAGTGGAAGGGGGCACCACCTCTTTCACTTCTCTTTTCCCTGTGTTGCCCATTGTGTTTGTTTTGCTTTGGAAGTACAGAAACTCATAACTGCGAATGATTACTGGGGTACCTTGGCACCACTGGTGAGGCCTAGAAAGCAGGAAGACTCGCATGAATGTCTTTGTGCAAAATGCGTCTTGTCCCTCTCCTAGCGTTGCCAAAGTTCTAACAGCTTCAGTGCTGCTGTAAAGTTAAAGCACAGATTCTCATCTGAGATGCAAAGAAAACACTTAGCTGTGAGCCTTTGTAAAGATAAAAAAAGAAAATTAAATACCACTGATGTACAGTGGTGCATGATAAACATTCCCATTACA